TTAAAATAATATCGTTTTCATACATCATAAAATTACTTATTTGTTCTGATTCACTTGTCAAAATTTTATTATACGTCATATGCTGATTTGTAATATGGGTGCTATATGGGCTTTTGTACCATATTTACCGAAATGGTCACTAGTGCCGTAGTTACGTGGTCATTGTCTCAAAAAAAACGGTCATTTGTGCCATGTTACCGACAAAAACGATATACGTGCAGACAGATCAATTTCCGTTTCTAGACCCTATCCTTACAGTCTAGGGAATATTGTTAGTGGATAGAATTTTGAAGAATTATTTGATGCTTTTTTCATATTATTTTTATCTAATTCAATTCGAAATTCTATACCTTGTTTACAATTAAGCGCATCAGCATGAATTATCATTTGGTACATTTCATTCTGTTATCGTTCGACGAATAATATTAAATATACTTGGATTATTGCTATAACATTTATGCCAATATCATTTAGATGATTTTCTAGTGATGTAACACTTGATGGTCATATACAATCATCTATGATACTATTTATGGAATTGCAAATCTATCTCTTGGAAAATATATTGATAGTGTTTATAAGTCTCATGGAACTATAAGATCAGCATTGATTTATACTGTTGGTGTTCAATTTACTTTGATCATAAGAATTGTTTTAGCATCTTTTTTTATTCCACTAGATGCTTTTTCATTAAATCGTAAAATAGATGATCAAGAAGAAGATGACAATTCAGATGTATTCATTGATAAGAATCATCACTCCGTAAAATCTATCAAAGGTTGAACAAGATTTTTGAAAGAAGAAAAGTTACAAACGGTTAATCGTGTTTGTTTTTGATGATATTTATTCTGATACGTTTTATAAAAAAGAAAAATTTTGCTTTCTTACATAACATAATACATGTGAAATGTTTTTTTAAAACCTTATAGATAAATTTTTTTTTGAAGATTATGATTATTGTAATAAACTTTAAAATTTCATTTAAGTGAAAGTATGATTATTATTATTATGGACGAGGAAATATATGTTGTATTTTTTATTAATAATGATGTTATCTTTTATTTAATAAGAATTGAAAAGTAAAATATTATTCAAATATTCTTTCCATAGAGAAAAAATTTTTATTGCTAGTTTCTGATTGATTTAATATAAATAATAATCATGTTAACATTTAATCTAACTATGAAAGTTCTATGAAACAAACTAAAACAAATATTCTCATGTCAATTTAAATTATTTTTTATTTAAGAAATAAATACTGAATTTACATTCTTCTACTTGAAACATCAGTTCCACAATAATTCACATGAACTTACATCACATGACAAGATGTTTTTTTTTACTCTTGTTTTTAGATAAATCGTTCGATATACGAAGTTGTCGAGCGAAACTTTGTCAATAAATGAGGAAAAGTTCATCAAACCTACAGATAGAGCTGTTCCAAACTTTTTTCGAAGTGCTTATTGCTAAACTTGGATAAGGAAGGTAAGAAGAGAAAAATCCAAGTAGAATAGGAAAAGATGTAAGCATAGCAACATCTTCTCAACACTTCTTTAGATAGAGTTCTACCATTTCATAGCAATTTCAACTTGCACACTGATCTTTCAATGTTCTGCAGACATCTGTTCACAATGAGCTTTAGCAAAATTTTACTATTTTAAGTAAATCCAAGATGCTTAAAGGAGTTACTTATCATTATCTTTGGATCTAATATGTAAATATCAACTTCAGGCATATTAATTTGGAAATTTAAAAAAATCTGTACTATAGTCTTATCTGTTAATACCTGTATATTTTTATATTTGAATGAGATTAGCAGTTAGCTAAATTTCCACACCATAATCGAATATTTTCTGATATTTTTCTATTGAAAATATGAACTGAAAACTCTTATCTATTGAAAGTTTCGAACAATTAGTTAGAAATAGACCAAAGAAATAAACTGAAAATTTCAAAATGAAAAATCTTTAGTTCTGTACGATGAGGAAGCGTGATCTCAATATTTAAAATTAGAATTTTGATGATAACTAAAATTTTGTCAGTTAGAAATGTTTGAACTCATATTTATGAATCATTCAAGTCATGAAAATCGATAGAAACAGACAAAATTGCTTAGTTCCAATAGCTTCAAAGTTGACGAAATACTGATGGAAATCGGTCAATTGTAAGGATTCAACCAATTGAATTACCAATGTTGGTGCATTTTTATGATTGCATGTGCATATGGTATATTAATTTGTCACAGTTGATTTCCTTTCCTTCTAATACGAAATTGAATAACATACGAGTGTACATTATATACAACACATCATCACTAATTTCGATTTTTTTATGTCGACGCTGCATGCCGCATCCAAAAGGTAAAGATTACTTGTGTTTTTATATCGTGAATACTGTTTACATCAGTCGTTTGATCATTTTTTAAAGTTATTTACCGTATATCTTCGAAGACTAGGATTTTTCAAAAAATAAAGAAAAGTTCATTCTATCATTGTATTCGAACAGATCCAAGATATTATTGCAGTTTTTTCTCATCATTTATACGAAAAAGTTTCTAAGTGACTTAATTTGACAAAGGTAGATCTAAGTAAGACGAAAATTTCTTTTTCTCATTTTAACTCACCAGCTAGCGTTGCCAAGATATGACGAAGCGCCCAGTTGAATAAATGAAAATTGCTAAGAAACATTTATTAGTTAGTAAGTAGCTATGTCAAGATTTTCACATTAATTAACTCAATCTATTTTAATGAATTATGTTATGTTTATCTTTATTTCCTCATCTTTATTACTTTTATAAATACTTTCTTCGCATATGAATAACCTTGCAACGTGTAACTATCATTCTCTTTTATGATTCTCACATTTGATGTCCTCTCTTTATTGATCTACGTATTAACAAACGCGTAACGCATGACGAATGTGACTAATTGCGTGAAGAAGTCAAATGGCGTGAGTGTCACTCTCTCATGTGCACTTTCTTTCTCACATTCGTCATATATACCTTTTCAAATTATATTTCTATGTAGAAATTCATTGTAAGATGCATTTTTTACTGTCTTTTTCTCATGCATCTGGACTAATCATATAAAAAACGACTATAAAACAATAAAGAAAACAATATTCTAGAAGTTTATTTAATGAAAATAACAACACGTGAAACGTTCGAGAAATATGATTTACCAATAGCGTCACTATGCTAATAAAAAGTGACATATGAAAAGATAAAGGATATACGAGTCTTGCTATCGATAACTCTCTCTTTCTATTCTATAAATGTCTTCTTTTTCTTCTGCTCTGTCAAATCTTTTTCATTGATCTTTCCTTCGTGCGCTCTCTCCTATACACAATGTTGTCTTCTATCTGATATGAGAAATGACTGAAGTGATAAACTAGTATAATTGACATCAACATTAAGAGTAATGATAAATATACTCTTATAGTTTTTTGTTGAGTATTAAAATAAAATAAACGTAATTATAAAAATGAATAGGTCTATCTTTCGTTCTTTTTTGTAAACATATTTTTAGGATTTTATGATAGGAAACCAAATCATTGACAAATTTAAGAATAAGTCAAGAAGAAAATCGTGTCATAGAAAAATTCACAATATCAACACTCAAGTTCTTATATAATTTGAAGAAGAAAATAAAATGCATGAAATATCATTTGAACTCTAAACTTTATGCATTATATCAGTCAATCAGCAACGAAAACGATAAGCTCTAATAAACAGTATATTCATTAGTTACAATAATCACTGATATTTCTTCGATTCTGATATAAAGTCGACTGATACTTCACAGTTCACAGTACAGATAAATCAATCAAGATCGTATATTAAATAATTAGAGTGTAACACGACAACCATCAATGAAGTTCTGCAATGTGTTACGACTATTGTGAACAATGGTCACAAAAAAATAAAATCTCTGGTAACGATTAACGTAACCACATAGCAAACGTAAAAGACGTTCAAATGACTTTGTACGATATCGTTTTAGGTCAACTGTAAACGGTTTACCAAACGATTCTTGTTTTCCATCTCATTTGTTTGTAAACAGTCGCTACTATCAACGTTCTGGACTGATTCAAGTCTATAAAATATAATGAATAGATTCAAACTACATTATAAACACTCTACTAAACGACAATAGTGTATCGATGAGTATCGTAAGCTGGTCAGGTTTGATGTTAAAAAATCGATAATTACTCGAATAGTCAATTAAAAACAGCATATTATTTAGTAGATCCATGTTTTGTTATTTTTTTAGTAAAAGGAGCAAATGTTGTCATATGTTAGTATTTCACTGTGAAAAACTTCTTTTTTTCAATAGTCTGAAGTTCTTAGAAACCGGTCAAAACTAGCTGTCTGCATTAGATGAAGCTTTCTGTATATTACTATAGTCATTTAAAATACGCCCTGTGTTATGGCACAAATACCACTGTAAACGTTGTTCGTATTTTACCGTGTACGAAACGGCATTTCACTGCTGTAATACTGAATTCACTCAATATTGGGTTTACGTGACGTCTTCGATGATGTAAACGTCATTATAATACATGCTCTTTTAATTCTAAAATCTTTGCCAGTAATTTATTCATTACAAGTATGCATAAACTGAGTCTTGGATGTAATAAAACTAGACTATTTTACTTTGTAGATTTTTTTTTCATTACATTTTTGATAAAATGATATTTTCTTTGAACCTGATGGTTTTATTTCGTTTTCATCAGATCACGAAAACAATTTTTCTTTGTATGTTGTATTTGACTGAAAAGTTCTTCTAAAAAAAAGTAAATCAATCGTTGAAGTAAGAATTAAAATCGAATTTCTCTCTTCTAGTTTAATTTGTTTTTTGAAAATCATAATTTAGATAAAATAAAATAAAATCTAGATCTATTTGCTAATTAATCGTAAATGACAATAAAATATTAACATTATATTTAGAATGCGGCTTCGAACTATGTTGTGCGTTTTTCCGATAATTATTTTACTATCGATGGCTTCTTTAATATTCAAATATAATTACATTAAGACTCTTGTGAATGATATTCGTCAAACAGTTAAAAATATTGATAAAACCAATACAGATATTGGTAGTTCAACATGTAAAACCTCACTTGATTCATACACAAAATGTTATCAGCATGTCACTGGATTGTTACCTTATAAGAGCGTTACAAATGGTATCGAAACCGTTATTCTTCTTAGAAAAAAACTGAAAGCTATTAATCAAACATTATTGAATAGTTTACTTTATTGGAATCAAGATGATCGTTTGAAACCCTTTACAAATTTGATGTTGTCGAGAAATGAATGTCAGATAATATATTGTGGAGCCAATCAAGCCGGTACAGATGGTCTCGAATTTATTAAACAATATGAAAATTGTCATGTTTGGTTTTTAGAACCGGTAGCACAGTTCTATGATAAATTAATTCATTCCTATAGTATATTACAAGAACTGAAAACAGGTAAACATCATTTATACCATATCGGTCTATCAAATAAAAATGATCTTATTGATGTAACATGGCAGGATATTAGAGAATCCGAAGCTTTATCTTTAGTTGGGAAACAAGAAAACAAACCGAACATTGGTAATGATCTAAAATACAAGTTAATTTTGAGAGATGTTGCAGAAATATTATTCGAATTTCACATGTTATCAAAGACGAGCAATAGCATTGTAACTGGAGAATTGAATTTATTACATCTCAATTGTGAAGGTTGTGAGTATGATGTTATTGAAAGATTAATTCAAACAAATTTAATTAAATACATTAGAATAATACAATTTGGTTCACATCGACCATTAGCTATTCGTCCGTCTGTCAATAAAAGATATTGTTGCTTACAACAAATGTTGTCAACAACACATCATTTACAATTTGGTGTACCATGGGCATGGGAAAGATGGTTAAGACATGATCTAGTAGAGAAAAATGAGTAGCATATCAAAAAGACTATCATAAACAAAATACAACATCATATGATTTTTTTTTGCTGCAGCCAGTTCTTGTTACGAGTATCTTCAACTTATTAGTTCTATTTCTAAAAGAAAATAGAAATTTTAGCCACCACAAGACCTTGGAAGAAGGATTCCATCAGATGAGTTTGCTTCATTCTATCTCATTGTTTGTTTTTATTGGAAAAAAAAGAATGGAAAATGTATTGTAATGAAGAAAATCTTTCAATTTATATTTGAGATGAGCACAGGACAACTTTTTCCATCGTGTTCTGCTGAGCTCTCCCTTTCTGGCGGGCGGCAGAACAGGACAAAAATTTTAAATGCCACCTCTTCTGTGCTCATCTCTGATCTATTATAACTTGTCATCGTCTTCAAAGTACACGATTGTTTCATAAATTAACTGAATTTCCATTATTCGAGCACGGTATTGAATTATTATTGACGGTATTAAATGTAATTTTGGTTATATGTCTGCTTTAAAGCCATCAAAACATTAAAAGAATCAGGGGCCTTATATTATGTCCTTGTGAAATTCTTGTAATTCAATATTCTTAGTCACTGTTTACATTCCAACCTTTTTCTAGTTAAGATTCGATTACCAATTTTATTAGGAATTTCTGCTCTTCGCCAACAAGACTTTCGCCACGTGGCGAAAGGGCAGTGGACGTTCGCCAATGACGAAAGTGCCAATTGGCGAAAATTTTATTGACGAAGAGCGAGTAACCCATTTATTAAATTATTTTTTTTTTGAATGTTAATACAATCAAAAGCACAATATATACATCAGAAAAAGACACTATTGACGAACATAAAAATAAACATTCGACCATATATATGGGTTACAAGAATTTCGACCCAAGGAATTTTCGGTCCGGGCTTTTCGCCCTCACCCTCACTTTCATGCCATTATTCTGAGTCCGAACCGAAAATTCCTTGGGCCGAAATTCTGGACTCCCATTTCATATTAGAAAACAAAATGAAGTTTTTATATATATAAGCAAGAAAGAAAGCATGAATTGTGTATATATATGCATGTGAAGCATTTGAAATATCAGCATTTCTTCGTTTTCTTTTTTTTCCTACCGAAGAAAATATAACGCATAAAACAGAGGAACATATATGACACATATATATTTGTTTTTTTTATGCTTTTTCTTATAAAAACTAGACAGTGATAAAGTTTTTTTTATTTCTTTATAGAAGATTACATTTTTTATATAGTTTGTTCGAGAAAAGAAATCTTTACCGACCTTTACCTTTCAATACAGCAATGGTTGTTTTGTTTTGTGCCTCATTTTCCAATGAGTAAATATCACAATTTTCGTTTCTTTGAGTTTTTTTTAAATATTTTTTGTTTTCCTTGAGTCATTCGCAAAAGGTAAAACAGATTTCGAACGACAGGCGTACTTGAGGGTGTGGGTGTGGGCAAAACTTTGTCTTTCACGAAAAATCCACTCACATCCACACTCTGATGATACAAAGTGAATGAGAGAAAAACTTAATCCATTCTTGCACTGAAGACCTTGGGTGTTTTGCTCGATGTTAAGATTATTACATGTATCTTGGTTCTTCAGTTTTCTTTGAAATGTGGACATAACATACAAAAATAGTTCTTGACAATATACAATGTTATTCAAAAGAAGATTAAATTGTACGCATTTTTTCTATGGTGACTGAGCAGCTGAAATCAAATCAAATAGTGCATATTTTCTTTGATAGTTATTAATATGTAACCTCAATAGATGATTTATAAACTTTTCTTAATTACTAAAGATGTAATATTAATCACAGTTTATTCAGCTTTTTTATCGAAATTTATTAATGAGTTTATTTAGTTTTTTCTTCTCTTAACAAATATGAGTCAATACTTGTCAGGCAACGATATCGTCTAAACCATCTTATTTTTACTATGTAACTAAAATAAATGTTAATAAAATGGAAGTAATGTTTCAATAAAAATTTTTTATTTAATTATATTTTAATATAATAGATGAAAACAGAGAAATTTATTCAATATAAATGGGAAATTTTTCTGGTCGAATAATATCGAAACCTCCACCATAAAAAAATCGAAATTAGTGTTGTTTGAGGTGAATCTTTAACACGAGTTATTTTTAGTATTTGTTTTTCTTGAAGATTGTTAATATTGAAACTAAATTCTTTTGGTGATAATGTAAAACGATCAATACATTGAGTTGTATTCCATTGAATACAAACAGTATCATTTCCATCAATTCAATGTGATGGAGTTGAAAGGGAAATGTGAATTTCTACACTTTGATGTAAACTTCTCTTTGAAAATTGTAGATAATATAATAATCCGAGATCAAGATCTTGACAAGTGATAGACAAATTTTTGGGAATTAAATCAAAATATTTCTCATCTGATTTTCCTATTGATATTATTTTATAATTTGTTGTTATTCGTATAAATCTAAATCCTCGATAAACAACTTGAGTTAATTGTAGAGAAATTTCCGTATTTTCTTTTAAATAAATTTCTTGATATGGATAATTGCTTCCACCCTCAATTTCACTGTTTACATTTGCATACAAATAATCTTCATCTAAAGAAGAATCACTTGATAAGTAAAATTAACATTATTTTTTATTTCCAATGAACTTCCATTTAATAACCAATGTGATGGAAATACATTAAAATTATTTCCACCATATTTCAAGTATGTTTCATATGCATATGTATTCATTAGAGGATCTATTACTAATTCAACATAGTATTTTGATTGAAGAGAATCAGGAACTGAATATGGAAAATTTTTCATAGCAAACGATGCTTGTGTTTTTGAAGGATAAACAGGGATTGATTGATAAGCTCGTTGATTTATTTCATCGATTGCAATTATTGTTTGACCATTGCCAGGAGAAAATACAATTTGAGGCGGGAAATTTGGTTGTTCACATTCACTAAAATAGCACCATAAAATAAATGGTATGAAATACAACAAGATTTTCATCGCTTCAAATTTATTAACAATTTTGTCAGTTTATCAGACTAGATATTTTTGTACTCTTCTTATGCGCAAACAGAAACCGTCGCGGAATGATAAGTTGACAAAAAAACAGTACTGTAATATGCTTTCACATTGTATTTGCTTAAGTTTCTTCACTCCATCTGTGTCAATCGGATATCACTCTCGTTCTATTTTTCTTCTGCCTAACAACATGACGAAACTACAATAACAATATGCACTGATCTCCGACTAATGAATTTTGAAATCAAAATTTTTTTTTTTGCATGATTTTCATTGAAATCTTTTCCATTTCTCTTATATAGTCATAAATGACCAAATGCATACTCTAATATTAACTTAAACGTTTTCAATAATCCATAAACGAATCATGATAATGAAAATAAATTATATTGTTCGTTGAAGAAGCGATCTCAAAGTTCACCAATACACATATCTTTCTGAAGATAGAGCCCATTGAGTAAGACTTTTTTTGAACTCCAAGTAGAGTTCTACAGTTTGACTGAGCATTTCGGCTTATTCGATATCCAACCCAAAGTCGGTTTCTGTTGCCAACTCATTGGATGCTAAATGAATTAAAATTTTTCTTTAATGTGCACTTTATTTACATTATTTCATAAATATTTAAGATGAAAAGAAAGAAATTTATGTAATAAAAATGGGATAAATATCAGTTGAAACAATATCGTAACTTTTACCGTTGAAAATCAGAATAAGAGATGTTTTGGGACTATCTTTGATACTAATTAATGTTAATGTTTGCATTTCTTGAAAATTTTCACCATACAAGTATAATTCTTTTGGTGTTCATGTATAATAAACAGTGCAATTCATTGTACTAGTCGATAATAAAAAATGTAACATTCTTCCACTATCATTTCGGCATGATATATCTGCATACAAATAATCTTCATCCATAGAAGAATCATTTGAATGTATTATTTCATAATTCAATTTAAGATAATTTTTTATTTCAAATGAAGTTCGATTAAACCATGAATGTCATGGAAATGAATTGAATTAAATTCCGTCATATTTCCAATATGTTTCATACATATAATTATTCGATGAAAAATCTATCAATAATTGAACATGATACTTTGATTGAGGAGAATCAGGAATCGTATAGAAAAATTCGTTCATGACATATGATATTTCTCGTATCGTGGCACTAAAAGCTCATTGATATATTTCATCAATGCCAAATATTGTTCGACCATTATCAGAAGAAAATACAATCTGAAGTGGAAAATACAGTTGAGAAGGTGTGGATGTGAAAGAATAGAAGATCCACACTCATACCCACACCCCACCCTTTTTTATGAGAATGAGTCAAGGCAAATGTCGATAAAAAAATTATACAAGATCTGAACGATTTAATGATCAGCATAATTGAAGAATTTCAAGCAATTCAACAAGCAACGTTGCATCATGTTTTTCTGAAAATAGATTTACTGATGAAGTTAAATAAAACAGGACAGATATATGAGAAAAATTTTAGGAAGGGGCTTTTCAGACATCCTCTTTACAAACTGCTGTTTGCTAAAAACAAGTTTCAGTATTGTATATCTTCGCCACAACAAGAATTCGAGTTATTACGATTTACGATTATATTTATCTAGCTAAGTATATAACATTTACATATCCAACTTAGAGCATTTTCAAATTTGTATTCAGCAAGAAAAAGAAATTTTTCCATGAATCGCTGAAACTTTCGGCTCAATCTTTATCTTTTTCTACACGAGTTAGTAGATAAATAGTTTCCCGAAAAAAAAAGTAGCCGTTTCTAACTTTGCATATATAAACGACAAAATCTGTAGTAGGATGATTTCTAGAATTTCAAATCGAATTCTATACTAATATTAATCTACAAAATTATTAGAACAAAACCATAGCAAGTGAATATTAATTTACTTAATAAGTATAATGGATATTCTTATATTATATTTAGATTCATAATTGAATTCTCATGATTAATTGATATTTAAGTAAACATTAACTTTTAAGTTCATGAAGTTTACGAAATGTTTTTGCAGTGAGAAAGAAAGTTATTTAAAAAAACAAAGCAACAGTAGTAAAGTTGAATTATGTTATTTGTTTGATTCTTCCATGGTGATTGAATATTGTGCTTTACCCGAGAGTCCTTGTATTTTAATCCATGCTTTATAGTATTCATGTTCTAATGTTGTTGTGAAAGGAATTTTAATATCTATATAATAATAATTAACAAGCTTCTTTGATTTTGATTGTGAAATTTCATTTGCTAAATAATTCATAATTTTTGATTTGCCATTCGTATCTAGTTTTTCATTTAAAGCAAATTCTGTTAAGATTTTTAATATTTCATAAACTTTTATAGCACTTTCACTTTTCAAATATACCATTAAGTCATCAATAAATTCATTAGGTGATAAACGAATGAGAGGAACTCCAATCATGGAGTATTCTTTCACAAGATTTTCATCAAATAATGTGTTCATGGCATTGATAATTACTTTATGATCAGGCTGTTCCATTGCTGAAAGTAATATAAAAGCACTACCTCTTGCTGGAAAATACGGATGATAATTAAGCATTTTCTCCAACAGTTGAATCATTTGAATTTTATTAAAACTTGAAGAATTTGTTATTTTTCGATACAAATAATCTTCCTTTTGAACACAAGCAGAAACCAAAGATAATAATGTTTCACATAGAATTAATTCAAATATAGTATCATTAACATCATTGAAACTTATCATTTTTAATATTAACCATTGAATTAAATTTTCCATTCGAACAATATTTATCGAAAAATTACTTAATAAATTTAATATTGTTCTATTTGCATCATTCGAAACAGTAAAATTACAACGACCCAAATGTTTGATTTGATCATAGCTCTGTTGTGAAATATGTTCAACTCTAACAGTTGTCTCAGTGATTAAGATTGATTCAAGATGTTTAAAATATGTTTCATCAGTAATAGTTGTTGAAGCAGAAACTTCATCAAGAATTAGTTGTATTAGTTCCATATCTGTATGTGAAAAATATACATGTTCTTGAAATTGGCATGTGTCTGTCACTGATAGTAATCTTGCAAATTTAATCCAATCATCTTCTGTAATCTGAAAACGTCTTGCTAAATTCATCGTAGAATGAAGTAGTTTTTCTATGTACAATGGATGTAAAGATGATTCTAAAGTTTGCATTATTGAATTCCAAGTATGATCATTTATGAAGTAAATTCTATCGAGAAATTGTATTCTTCTTTCACTAACAGAGTTTCTCTCTTGTAATTGATTTATATTTTGACATAAATTATGAAAAACTATAGGATCATCCCATAGTAAGTCGTAGAAAAATGTAGAAAAATAAGCACGAACTCTTGGAAGGTGCTCTTTCACTAAAGTATGTTCGAGGATTTTCATCATTGTTTTTTCTCCTAATACAGATAGTCTCTTGCTGGGTTCTTTAACATCTCTTTCTGGATGCTGAAAAATTCGTTGAGCTCTATATCTCATTTGATCATTATCACTTTTGAGCAAATCAATAATTGTATCGATGGCTGATTCAAAAACATGTTTTGCTTCTGTAAGTAAAAGAGCTGCTAGATATTTAATTTCATTGTTATTATATTGAGTAAACCACCTCTGAACAACAGGTAATACTTCATTTGACGGTTTTATAATATAGGGAAAAAGCATCGATATATGATCTTCTTTTCCTTTTTCTATCAATTCATCTACAATAATGGCTACTTGTGGTGTCAAAAATATTCCATCATGTAAACCAATAGTTAATATCTTGTCTATATTTGACTGATTATCAGTATCTTTTAAAAGATGAATCCATAAATGATCAGTGCTTTCTGTTTGATCAATAACTAATTTTGTATCATTCAATTGTGCAATCAATAAAAATAAAGATTGAAGTTCTATATAATTTGGAAGATCGACAATTTCTTTGTTATCATCCTCGTTTTCTAAATTTTGACTTATATCTAAATTTAAGTTTGACTTGGGAATATTTAATGTTTCAATAAATAATATTCTTCCATAATAAGAATTGACAAAATAATTATGCATTTTATTCTTGAGTGTTGCTATCATTTCATTTAGTTTGATTAGAAGATCATCATAAATACNTCACACCCACACCCACACACCCCACACCTACACCCACACCCTATGATGACAAATACCACTAGAAGCGTAGATGATTGTTGATAAGATGTAGTTTGTTCATCTTTTAATAATCTAGTAACGATACTGGTAAATAATTCACTATGTTCAACTGATTTACTTAGTATTCCAGGTGTCATACTAAGAGGAACTCGCCAATTAGGAGTACCAATTTTATCATGAATATTGTGATAAATAATGTTTTCAGATCGTTCGAGTCCAAAAGAATAGATAATATTTTTAGCTGCGAGATATTCTTGAAACGTACGATGTATAAATCGAAAACTATTATGACCAAATTCATTGAGTAAACCTGCTTGCTATTTAAAAATATCTACTAGTTTCGATATTAAATCATCAATATTTAATTGAGGATTCTTCAATGATTCTTTTTGATAACCTATTAAACAATTTCTTATTATTTTATTTAGCATGTTCTCTGAGAAACCTTCAACTTACTATGTAAATATTCAGCTATTTCTTGTAATATTGACCATCATACAGTAGCATTTAGTCCAAGTTCTTTATTTAGATAATTTGTTGGAGAATCGATATAAGAAGTTACTAAACGTTCAATCATATTTTCGATAGCTTTTTCATATAAATCAATTCTTTTCTCTGGTAATTTATCTTCGTATTGATTATAAACTGCAGCAATCACACTAGCTAATTGCGGATCAATCGCCAAATGAAATATATCTTTATTCTGTGTTATATCATTATATAATTGATCAATAATACATTCTCGAGTAACTCGTCCAGCTTTAATAGAAATTTCATTAATACATTTCATATATGAACTACAGAATAATTTAAGAGCATCATTAGACATATTTTCAATAGTTAATCTTGGAACATAAAAATTAATATCTTCAAAATAATTTCCTTCGATATGACTTGTTATAATCAATCGATTTCCCATAATTGGATTTTTAATATTATTTATTTCCTTTTGCTCATAAACTGAATAAGTAAGTTTATCGTATGCTACATCATAATCTATTCATCGTTCTAATAATGTATTTATTTATTTCATTAAGTCTGATCGATCTATATGAGCAGGAACTTCATCTAAACCTTCAAATATAACTAAAACATTTTCCTTTACTAATGATTCTTTAATCAATGATGATAGTTCTTTTCGTTCTTCAACATTGAAAAATATTGAATCAAAAGTAGGATTTTCACAAATAAACTGAAGTAGACTAGATTTCGTTTTATTATGATTTTCTTTTACTTTATCAGCATATTTCCATATGGGAATAAGAATTGGTATTTTCTCTGTCCTAGAATAAATATTATCAAATAACATATTCTTTTCACCCAAACGTTGCTTAGCCATATTCATTAGCAACCATTTCAATAATGTAGTTTTACCTGAACCTGAATGACCTATATAAGATTATAAAATGTTTAAATTTATTGTATGCTTGTTGAATTCGATATTGTCTTGCTTCTTTGAGATTATTTTTTTCTACAATACTTTTTTTTAATTGATTCACCTTTGTTTTAATAGTAGTCGCTTCATTATCACTAAATATATTTTTATTACTTAACAAAACATTTCACCATTGATCAATCATGATGTCTCTATAGAGCATTTCAGAATTGTAGGCATTTTTTTTCTATGATAGTTCTATTCAATTTTTTCCTTTCATGTTCATTAAAAAAGCCAGGAGATAAAAGTTTACATCTAAATTCTTCATTAATTTCTAGCATTTTCATTGCTTTTATTGATGAATGTGTTGGATCAAATTTTAATTCTACATAGACACTTTCCAAAGATAAGCTCATATTTGTATTAGAATAGCCGAAAATCGGTACGTGCCCATATTCATTAATAAGACAATTCAAATATTTTTTGCAAACAACTTCTTTTTGGTCTGTAAATGATAAACTTTCACGTATTACGGGTGTACAGAATTTGAGATTTTTAACAAATTGTAATAAGTCTTCCGAATTATGACCATATTTAACTTCTTTAATATTTGTCGAAAATGAAACATCAAATATTTGATTAAATGTATTATTTTGATTCGATTTAACAAGTTTATACATTGACAATGGTTTATTACCTGTTACATGAAATATCCATTTTAATAAGTTCGAAAATTTTAGATAAAAAATTCCAGCATCATATCGAATAAATAACAGAGTTTTGTTTCCATAAACACTCTCAATTTGGACTGTTCGAATTCGTTGTCAAGAAGTCGATCATAATCATTACTACTGAAAATTATACTATCTTTGTCTTCAAAATATCCATGTACATGTAGAATTTAATTTTTGAGATTCTCCAACGAATCATCAATATCATTAACATAATATTCATTCCAAGTTAATGGTTTTTTATCAAGTATATCTTCGAGCAATGAATCATAGTTAGTTGTTAGAATTGGACACTCTAATTCTCCTATAGTTTTAATAAGTTCAGGTTTTTTAACTACTATGTTTCCTATTGTTTCTCGTAACCATGTTGCATAAAGATCATTTTTTGTTTCATCATTTTCCATTTGAAAATAATACTTAATTTGATTGGCAGCAAGCAAATAGTCATCAATTTGTGCTGTGTCACTATGGAATTTATTATTGAAATCCTCAAATTCTTCGTTAATAATCCATCCTGATCGATAACATTGTTGCAGTTCATGTTTCAACAATCCTTTCCAATGAGACACTTCTTGTTCAAGGTTTGTTGCATACATAGATACTCCTGTACCAATAAATATCATTGCATTACTTAAAGCTATATCGTTTTTAATTTTTTTAATTTCATTAGCCATTCATCAAATTAATCCTTCGAAATTTATCTACAATTAAAGCTCAATAAAACTAGAACGAGTACTCTCGAGAAGCAAAACAATATGAATGGTAGACAATGAACGTAGCTTGTAATATTCACACTGTACGTCAAATATGACTGAAACTAGTGTCAGACATAAAAAATAATAAATTGTCATAGCTAAAGAGTCATGGTAAAATTTCTGCAAATGCGTAGAAACTACGTTAATTTAATATATGTCAGGAGAAAGATTATTTTAGTTTAGATAGTAGTGTTTTATACAAACCAAAAAAATTTATAAAGCTTCAAAGGGAAATCGTTGTGTCTAACCTAGAGGATTTCATAGGCCTTCACAACAAAATGTTCTTATTCGACTGGCATGCAAGACATCTGACTTCTTGCAAATTGATAATGGTGGCTGGGATTCTTGAAGCTTAATTTTAAAGCAAAATCTTATAGTTTACTTATAAGACATAATAATCATAACCTCAAGGTAGGAGTCTACATAGGACCTATTGATCTCTGTATCCTGCTTAGCAGAGAGAAAAATGGTTTTGAGTTTTCCAGTATGTGAAGCAACTATAGTAAAATAGATTTTAAAAAAGCTTATAAAGGTGCATCGATATTGTGAGAAACTAAAAGAATATTGTGCGAACTTTTTATTTGTTTGTCTGACTGTGTGTTCCTTCTCTAATATTTTTAGTATTTGATGTACATCAGGTTTTTTTAACGGCACCAATGTATTCATTCTGCGATTCGAGCTCGTAGCAGTAATCTTTAGTAAGAAGATATACATCGAAGAAAGAAAGTACATTTTTTTCCATTTAATTTAAGATGAAAATTCTGAAAATCGCGACCGATAGAAGAATAACCGGAGATTTTAGGGCATACAATGCTAAAGCGCATGTACATCTATGCACATATATATGCATGAACAATTTAGAAAATTCCAACTGTGTCTTAAGTTAATATACGCGGAAAATTTTGTCTACAATTCATGTATGCAGATAGGGACTAAATCTAAGATGTGGAGGGGTGGATATTTTCAATGTCGTAGAACTCTTCACTAGAACAGAAAGATTTTAAGAAGCAATAAAAAGTTTTCATAAAGAAAAAAACACGTTGTCTTCTGTTTCGAACACTCACCTGTCTGTCTAGCTTGCACATCAGCATGACATTCGCTCAAAGAAAAATAAACAGTGGCTCACTACCTAGTTACTCGAGAAGAAAAAACTAATGCCGTCTTTCTCTCACGTTTTTTTATGTACAACTAATAGGTTTTTTCCATTGTAAAGAACAATTTGCGATACTTGGAAGAGGATGTGGGTGTGAATGTGCTTGTGCATGAGGGTAAGATACCTGTCTCCATCCTCACTTATAGAAGAAGCCACAGCCACACTTCCACACCCACACCCTCAATTTCAGGAAAAAAGGTGATTTGAAAACTAATTGTAAAAACTAATTGTGTTTAAAATATCAATATCTAATTGATTTCTTCAGAAATATACATAATGTGAAAAAAAGCAATTTAGATTTGAATGTAGTAGAATATTCTTTTAAGAGGATGATGTATTATATAACAAGAATATCGAAGAACAATAATACTCTGCATCATTTTGTTGTCTTGTTTTGTATCGATTGTATTTAGGGTGTGGGTGTGGGGTGGGGTGTGAAAAGAAGATCGATACCGATAGTGGCACCATACACCCACACCCATCGAAAATTGTAAGTTCCTTCCAAAGCTGCTTTTCTCAGTGAGATGTTTCATTTGATATGAGATGGTAAGGATTCTGGTGAAAAAATCTCACGTGCCGATTTCTGACCTTATAACCCCCTCCTCCCTCATCCTTTATTGAAAAAACATGAAGTGAGAAAGTAATGGTATAAGCAACAATATTTTATGCGCTGATCGCTTTATGTTAGATGCTGAAAAAATCGGTCCTGTCGATGTATCATTACGAATTAAATTGTATTCCATTAGTAGTTGAATAACGTTCTTATACGTGTCTTTTCCATTGCATAATTCGTGACTACAAACATATTCCACTGAACTTTGTCGCACGTCTACTTTACCATTGAGATAATACGATGTTTCTTCTACGATTCCCAACTGTTTGCGAAATTGATCATCACTTTGCGACGAACATCCCTGATGTGTTTTATTTGCATAAACATTATCAATATATAAACTACACGACTTAATATTTTCACTGCATGTAATACTTAGGCCATCTGCTGATAAACAACGGATAATATTTACACCTGAATGAAAAATATTAAAAGGAAAATGCATGATTGAATGGAAAGAGTTTTTTTAATTTTTCGGATATGCACAAAACGCAAAGGCTATTAAATTGAATAAGAAAATGCAATGCGTGAAGCATAACAAGCGGTTAGCACGGTCACAACTATTGACGTTAGCACCAATATGATCAAAAAGCGAACTCAACGTTTTACTTAGAACAACAACAAGTTAAGGACTATTTTAACAGTCTATAAATGAAATTAATTATGTGTAAAGTTTGTTTATAAAGGAGAAAAAAAGGCCTTTTAAGATACGTCACGGTTTTTGCTCGCATTTTCTAAGTTCGACGGATCTTATATTACATAATAACAAATGATCAAAAAGTTTTTTTGAGAAAATATTTGCGCCAGCTCCACTCACTTGCAAGCATTTCGTAAAAATAAAAAACTATGGATTAAAACCAGAATTTTGTTCACTTTCTGAATATGCTCTCTGAACGTTTGGCTTACGGTTTTCTCTCTAGCAGTGAAAAAAGCTTTCGAAGGCTTGAAACAAATGTTAGAATGAAAAATTCTTTGATACATTTTTGTACTTTCATCATTAGGATCTGAAACTAAAAGTTGAAACCTTTATTAATACAACAGCGTGTAAAACACAATCTATTCTGCAAAATGTACTATTTCCATCTTCTTTTTCTTCCAACAGAGCACGTCAAATTTCGTTTTCCAATCACCGTCATTTCGAAAAAAAGTCAACTTTTTGTTTAAACGAACTTTATAAGCAATAAATGAACCTGAACGAAATGGTTATAGTTTCACTTAAGTAAAGTCTAGAGCTAAATTCGGTATCACATATTGTAAAAGAAGGACCGCTTCATCAAAGTACTGAGTACGACTATTTTCAGCATCTTCACGAAGAGACCTAGCGGTCAGCAAAAAGTAAGTGTTTGTCTTCGAAGCATTTTTTCAAGCCTTTTAAGATCTTTCTTACTACCCGAGTGAGCAAAATTCTGGTTCTAACCAATAGTTTTTAATCTTTTTGAAATGCTTGCAAGTGAATGAAAAAGTAGTAAATACTTTCTAAACAAAACTTTCTGATCATTCGTCAGTCACAATGAATCATTATATGATGTGCATGTTTTCCAACGAGGGGCAAAGGTTTTTTTAGGAAAATGGCTCAATATGATTTCCTAGAAAAATGATCAGGAGTGACTATAAATGCTTTGCTTTTCGTTTTCCAAAACGTAAGACTACTAAAAACTCTGTCTGACTGAATCGCAAGAGAAAATCTTATTTTTATGACCATCAAAATTTGTATAAAGATCATTCACTTTGTTCTTTACCTTTTTCCTTTTAGTAAAAAGGTAAAGAAAGATTTAGGAGAGCTACTAAATCCTTTGCCAAAGGTTCAGAAAAAATGAAACTATAGAGAACGAGTTTTCAACACTAATTGTGTTCTCCTTTAAATTATTGTCTGCACCTGAGCCTGCTGTGAACAAAGCAGAGGACAGTTTCTGTTGAAATTGATTAAAATTCGTTGTTAATTTACGCATTTGCAACACTTTCGTTTTGGCATATTCAAAGTCACATAAATCGCCAGGGATGTGGCGAAGAGAAAAAAGTGGGGGGTGCAAGAAAATTTTTTTCAAAGTTAAGGGTATATTCAGAAAATTTTTGAACGTGAGAGGATGCATTTACAAAATTTAAAAAAGTGGGGGGGTG